AGCTTCAAACATTGTTATAAAATTCAAAATATTAAAATCAAATGTTTTAAAACTTCATAAGTCTTTAGGAATGCTAAGCTCAAAAACATTCAATTTTAATAAACTTAAAAGCTCTTTAAGCAGTTTTGAAGTAATTTATATTTGATATAGGAGTTGGATAAATACATATTTTTCTGTATAAATAAGAACACAACTTTTGCAATCACTTTTATTTCAAATTTATAAAAACAATTATATAATTTTTTTTATTTAGGGCCTTTTCAACCACCAACTTCAACACAAGGGCCTCCTCCACCTTATCCAACACAAGGACCTTTACCTCCACAGCAAGCCTTTCCTGTCCATCATCCAAATGCCATAAAACTTACACCATATTTAAATACACAAGGAACAGCTCCTCCACCGTATACAGGCCCACCTCCAAGTTATGATGCAGCTGTTGGACAAGCAACTTCTAATCACTGATATTTTTAGAGTAACATTGACTATTTTGGATGTTCAACAGTAATTTCAATTAAACGTAACATTCCACTCATTGTCTTGGACTTTGAAACTGCATGCTAACAACAATTTTACAACCAGTGTTGCTGATATGATGAAGCACTTCATTTGAACTGACAGCAAAATTGAGCCATTTGGAATGTTATAGTCTGATAATGATAGTCATTTTTATTTTACAAAGGTTTTAAAAAATAGTAATTGAAAATATTCTAAAAATATTTAAGATATATTATACTTTAACAGGAAATTGAACAAAATTTTTAAATTTTGTTCAATTTTTTCCAATACATTCTAAATTAATAACATATTAAATTTAGTTTTTTAGATGCAATAATGTATTTAAATTAAAATAATTTCAAAAAGAGGATTAATAACAACATAATATTCCTTTTTTTTATGCAATATTTTTCTTGTTATCTTTTAAGTAATATTACTTACAAATTATTAAAAGCTGAATTTTTAAAAAAATAATAAATTCTAAATAATTCACTTTTTGAATTGAGTATTACATTAGATTTAAGTATTAAATATTTGCTGACAGTTAGTCTATGAGAGTATTAGATTCTAACTTAGAAATTTAAATTTTTCATAGTATCATTCTCTTTTTATATGTTTCTATTTATGTCATTATGAAATATACTTTTATTTATTTATTTTTTCAAAACATTTTAGAAAAGAATTCTAAGTATAAAAATGTTTCAGTGGAAAAATAGTTTGAAAAGTCCTTAAAAAGAACAAATGCAGATAAATTTTTAAAATGATAAAATTTGTATTTTAAACTGAATATGAATTTTTCATTTGTTTTATCAGTTACAACATTAATTAAATTTAATAGGATTTACTAATCTAACATAAATTTGGAATTTTGTTCATATGTGAAATAACAACATTACATCTATATTAAATATTGTAATAGAAATCAGAAACTTTATCTTCTTATAATAATGAGAATATTAATTATCGTCAAATTTTGATTACTGTATTATTTATTTCCCTCTTATTACAAATAAATTATTTACTTTATTTATTTTCAAGTTTCACAATTTCTGTGAAATTTTGTAGTAAGTAGAATCATATGTGCATTTAATATAACAAAATTTTAAACTATTTTTTATTCTCAAACTTAATTACATAAAAATTTTACAAAGATTATTGCTTTAGAAATTTAACTTGAAGTGTGATTATGAAGATAGAATTAAATATTTTATAGATAAATTATAAGTTTAGATTTAATGGAAATTTGATTTCATGTGATAAATAAATTGTTCAGACAAACAAACAGATTTCTGTAGCAGAAAAACAGCATATGTTACTAATTATAGTATTAAACAATAATTTCACATACTTATTTTTTAGATGATAATTGCTAGTTATGTAAGTATTAAAAAGAAACTTAATGTACTGTAACAACAACAACTTTTTTAATATTTTTGTTACCTAATTCTATTTCATTATAATATTTTAATATTTAATTTTTATTTCTTCTTTTAAATGATGAATTATGTTCAGAACAAAAGTAGAAATTTGGCCAAAATAAAATTTGAGAGGAATTATATACAAAGAGAAAAAGTTCTAGATATTAAAATATTGAAACAGCTGAAAATAGTAATGAAAATAAAATTATGGCTATTTATATCTTGTTATTAAAAATTATACTGAAAACTGTAATTAACCAGAATTTATTTTTTTAAATAAGGAATTTATTTCATATTAACTTAAAAAATTTTCATTTGCAATATTATTTAATACTTACATGATAATAGAAAGATTGAACTGTTTTAAATCTAATCTGTTTAATTCTTTATCATAAAGCTAACTATTTTACTATATAAGATATATGTAATTAGTTAAGTGTAAGTGTTGTTATTACAATATATGATAAAATCCATGAAAAGTATAAATTTAACAATTTAACTTAAAAATAAAACTTGCTGGTTTATTTGGAATTATATAAATATTTTTCTAATTTTAGAAATTTTTAATTGATTGAAATACTTTATTCCTGAAGGATCTTGCACTTACATTGATTTATAGAAAGGTTTGGCACTTGAAATTGTTTTTTGTTTTTTTTTTTTTTTGCAAAATGATGAATAATGTAATGTTGTCACAGTACAGACAATTCTAGAAAAAAACCAAAAAAAATCAACACAGTGACTGTGTTCAGCACTCAATAATTCCAGAGCTGTTGATTATTTTTCAGTAGCACTGTTTTAGAACATGTTTGGTGTTTTGATGTTACATTTAGTAACATATTTCATTTACACTACCTTTCATTAGCTGTAACTGATCAATGATGGCTATCCCCCATGCAAGCAAATAAAGATATTACATAATCTCTACATTTTAAATTATTTACAAGGGAATTACATTATTAATCTTAAAAATTTCAATTTATGTTGTCAAATGCAAATGCAATTACTAAATCCATCTTTAACATAAATAAACACAAGTTTGTACACATGAAAGCAGAAGCTACTTCTTTCACTACTAATTTCCTATTCCATTGCATCATTCATCATTCAGCAGATACACATTATTATATAATGGCTACAAATTGAAATACTGTTGCGTCTGTGAAATTCAGCCATTTTTTAAAAATTAATGATGAGTATTTTCTTATTTGGAAAAAATGCAGTTTAGTATCAATTTTTAAAATTAGAAAAGTGAAAAATAATGTTGATATGAGAAACATTATTATTAAGTTGTGATATTAATTTGGTACAGATTTATTCTGTCTTTATAATAAATTAACCTATTAGTTATTCGTTAATAATATATTTGAATTAAAATATCAATTTTTAAAATTAGAAAATCGAAAAATAATGTTGATATGAGAAACATTATTATTAAGTTGTGATATTAATTTGGTACNTCAAACATGCTATATATATATGTAATGTATTCATCCAAATATAACTTATGTTAACTACTCTCATAGACTAATAGAATAATCTGGAGCAAATATATATATATTTGATTGTTTTTTCTGAATTTAAATTAATTTGATTCAAAATATGATTTTTGAATGAAAATTTACTATTAAAGATTTTATTTTTAATATTTCTTTTATTGTATATATATTGCATTTGTATGTTTAAATAATTGCATAAATTTGTTTAATATCTTTATAATTATTTATTTATTTATTTACAGTTTTAGAGTAAACTTTAAAAATGTCAAAGAAATTCAAAAAATATAAACTATTCTTTATAATTAAATATTTAATTAAACTTTGAAAAAGTTTTGGAATATTGGTATATATATAGTAGTCCAAAAGTAGTGATACAAGTTGAAGCAAGATGATTTATGATTTGAAAAATAACTATAAAATGTAAAGAGACATTTTCTCATTTGAGTGTTTCTTGTCAAAATTAAAATACTGAAAGTTTATAAGGTCTAAAGGTCTAATAATAAATATTGTAAGTGTAAGAAATATTAGATATTGGAAATTGCTTAGGCACTGAGTAAGTGTCTGTTAAATCTTTCATTGTTTAAAATGGAAAAAATTGTTGTTTGACCATTTCTGGTGTATGTTACAAAAAACTGAAAATATTATATAAATAGGAAGGCACAAATGAGTAAATATCTGTCTACATTATATATATAATTATTTTTTCTGATACTAAATTACTTTTTTTGGCTTGTATGACTATTTTTGACCTCTATATGTATTCAAATATATAAAATATGTAGAATAAGATATCTGAAGTGTCTAAATTGTGATTGATTTTTATCACTGATTATTAAATTACATGGTAATGAAATTATATGCTTTGTATGTAATTTAATAGTTAAAGTTTGATAACACTTATTTAATCTTTTAAATCAGCAAAAATGATTCTTTACTTCATCAAAGCAAACATTTTCAGCTGTTTTAAACAACCATCTTCAGGCTAACGTGAAAATTCTAATGATCTAAAATCCAAGGATACAGAATATAGAATACTTGTACTGTACATTTTTTTTTTTCAAATGCAACTTTAAAATTTAAATTAAAACTAAATACAGCAATATGATTGGTTGTAAAAGGTTAAATACAAATTTATGTATTGTAGAAAACTTCATTTGTTTCTCATTAAAAATAGCTGATGAAATTTTTTATTTCACCCATTTGTTGGAAATCTGATACTATGCCTTCCACACTTCAGAGATTATACTTTGGCCCCAAATTTATGCATCTACCTTTCTTTGTTAATTTTATGAATCTCTAAACATTCCAATTGCTTGAGGAAATGATCTCTTGTGACTGTTTTCAGCACTTTTGCATTCCATCCTCCAAATAAAGCCAAAGCTATAGTTAAAGCTCCTTCCTCCCATCTTGCCTGGGTTCTGCAATTTTATACTTTATTGAACATTTTTTAATGATTATATATTCAAGGTGTACTAATATAAATTTGTATGTGATCTTTTACAAATCATATTGCAATATTTGGTTTTAATTTAAATTTGAATTGAACTCACATTTGAAAAAATATATTTTCTGTTTTGCTCTGTTGGGTTTTAGAACATTCAAATTTTCATGATAACCTGATCATGGCTGTTTAAAATAACCAAAACATTTGCTTTGTTACATTAAAGGATAATTTTTGCTGATTTAAAAGGTTCTATAAGAGTTATCTTAATCAGTTGATAGCAGTTTTTCCATAATTTAACTTGTTAATTTTTTAAAATTTTCTTCTTATTCTTAGAAATTATATTTCATATATAAATATGTATATAATCACAAAAGTGATTTTAATTAGTGAGTTTGTGTTCTCACTGTGATAAATTAAACAGTATGGAATGAAGTTTGTTTCTTTATATAGACTATTTTGTCATGCCTTTGATTAAAAAATTAAATATATTAAGTAAAATCTGAAATATTCCTTTTCCCCTTCTTCATATACTACCAAAAGTTTAATTTTTACACAACACACTTTTCTCAGATTCATTAACCTTTTTTCTTTTATATTCTAATTTCAATGTTTCTTTTAAAAAACAAAAATGTTAAATGAAATAATTTTTGTAACTTTATACTTTAATTGAAAATGTTTATAAAATATAATGGTGTAATTTCTATTTAAAACTGTTTTGGAATAATTGTGTGGTCAGTATTACATTGAAGCATGCTAAAAACAATTTGCTTAATATCAAATTTTGTTTGAAAATGTCATTTTTCAGCAAGCTCATGCAAGCTTATACAATACAGTGTTGTATATAATATAAAAGATTTCTTGAAATTTATGGTTATTATAAGATCAACTCTTGTAAATAGCCAAATATA